CGTTTTTCTGAGAGCCACTGAAGACTTCTGCCCAGGTCTCTATTCTCCCTTTGTTCTTGCTCTTCTATTTGCTTGGCCCTTTACTCTGATTTCGATTATGGATTTACCATCCTTCAGAGGCGCTTCCCACCTCCACCTTTCTCATCTTAAAACCTCCCACGGTTCAGCACACAGACTGGCAGCCCTGGGATGCCTGGTCGTGGCCTTGATGCACGTGGTAGTCAAGCAAGCTAAACTCATAAAAGAAAGCACTGCCCAGTGTGTATTTGTCATGCAGAGAGGTAAAGCTGTGCCTACTGGAGCTGAAGAAGCAATGGAAATAATGTGTATTCATAAGGCCTGGCTCAAGCAGAGCACCCCCACCACGACAGCACGTGCACAGCATGCACATGCCCTGCCTGCCTTCAGCAGCTCCACGTGCCTTTTACCTGTGCTCAGTGGCACACCTGCAAGGAGCACTGACTCTACACCTTGTTTTCTATCAACATCGTGTCTCCTTCATCCAGCAGAGCCATCCCAGAACAGGTGTAGATCAATCACGCTGTCCTGAAATGGGACTGATTTGTAGGCATTGCTCTTATGTTTAAAAATTCTTACCTGGTGGTGCTTGGAGCCTCTCATTCCATGCTGTATTTGAAGCAGGGCTTGCAGAGCAGGACTCCTGCTTTGTTTTGAGATCCTGCTCCAGCTTAGAAAGAACTAGCATGATCACGACAGCAAATCTGAGCGCCAAGCTGTTCCTGCCGAGCTGCACAGCAATTTGCAGAAAGCTTGCTGACAGTAGCAAACACTTGCTGGCCTGTGCACAGGAATTTCAGCTCTGGGCATGCAACCAACTGAGCATGTAAGCTTCTATTTCTTTCTTTGAACCATCCTTCTGCTTCAAATAATCTTCAGAGAAAAGGATTCAAAACCTCCATATCAAAATCCTGTATCCAGTGGTCTTGAAAAACCACAGAAAAAGCAAGATCTAGCTCAAAGCTAGGGCTGTGGGGACAGTGGGGTGCTGGTGCTCAGCTTGCTTGTCCCACTCAGAACAGAGTCAGGCCTGGGAAAATGGCACTGAGTTCACGCAGATGACGCAAAACAGCATTTGAAGGTCCCTATCCTCTAGTTATGCCTGAGCAGTATTTACAACATTGATTGCTACTGTATTGGATATAAGAACGGGTTGAAGCCCTGGAGATCACCCGAAGGGGTAGACTGAATGATAGAGCCCAACAGATAGGCAAAGTGGAAGAACTTGCTCAGTCTCTCAGTTATACGACAACATAAATAGAACAGTCACTTTTCTCAGCATCAGGTACATGTTCTGGAATTGGTTTCACTTAATGTAAAGTCTTGCTGTCCACTTCCCTTCCCAGTTTTAACAGTTGAGGTAATTGCAGCTTTGCAAACCGTGGCTGCTTACCAATGGTTCTGTATCAAGTAAAGCACTGTGCTGTTCATGATATCCTACTGCAATACCTCAGTGAGCAACCGCAGAAATGAAACCAACCTGTGGATGCAGACCAGTTGTTTGGTGGTGTCATGAAAGGAACTAATGATAAGACAGTCCTGGAGAAAGGATCTTCATTCATGATGAAAGATACTTTATTTACTAAGACTGTGGGTCTCTATTTCAGGTATGGAAATTGCTGCAGTAAGGACCCACAACCAGAATGTAGTGGGCTGCAGTGTTCTTGCATGCCTGCCCACCAGGCTGTACTAAGTTAGCTTTGGCAGGGTGCTCAGCAGGTGGCTTTGGAGATAAATGAGATATCACAAACTCGGTGGTATGAAGCTGCTTTCAAATGGCTTGCACCTGAGAACAGCTGCCTAATTAAAGGAATATCATAGAAAAGAAAAAAAAGAAGAAAAAAAAGCAGATCAGATGTAAGAAGGAGATGAAGGATTTCATTCTACCTCGCCTCAGGAGTCGATCATACTAAAATATTGCTCTTTTTCTGACTTTTGTTTGTGTCCTATGAGAAGCCCTGCCTGCCACCTGGCCTCCCGCAGCACAGAGCCGAGCAGAGTTAAGTGAGGTGGAGGCAGCAGATGTGACAGCAGGGGAGTGAACTGATACCTGTGGGTTTGCCACATAGTATTACAGTTGTCTCCTTAAGCTGCGAGGCAGAAATCTTGCTGGATAATAGGAAAGTAAGCTTAGCTGGTGGGAGTTATGTGTTCATCTCTGGACCACCTGCATGTCTGAGTAACGCTTTTAGGAGAGCTGGTCAGAAGAATGGTTTTCCTTTAAGAAATACCACAAAAAGTCCATCTTTGTTATTTTGTACAGAACGCTGATTTTTCGTGGTGGGGAAGGAAGAGGAATTGCTATGCCTTCATTATAAATGGTCAATGGAACAGTGAAAACCGTGCTTGGAAACGTAGGATAGATCCTCAGGAGAGCTTTGAGTATCATTCACTACATCTGGCCCGTGTATAAAATGGGTGGTTTTAGTGACCAAAGCCTGCTTTTATCTGCGGTAAGATCCCGATTCAGGTGCACTTGCTGCTGCTCATAGCCCAACAGGTGAACACCTCATCCCAGTGCATCCTCATCCCTGTGTCTCCTTCACTTGGGGTGTGCAGGGATTTGAATAAAACCACCGTCGTACCTCCCAGCTCACACTGCCATGTGGTCTTTAACAGAAACAACCAAATGCAGCCCTGAGCTTCTTTTCCCCGAGACTCACTAAAATACAGTGCAGTGTGCAGCACCTGTAGATGATTCTGTGCACAAAGGGCTATGCTGACGCCTCTGCAAAAGATCATATTGGGGTCACTTCTGAAACACTTGGTCAAACTTCAGTTGAAAGGAAAAGCAGACTGTTTTGTTTCCAGCTCAGGCATTTCCTTTACTTGAAATGGAACTTTGAGAGCCTTCATTAGCAATAAAACAGGGTGCAAGCTGACATGTGGATTCACTAGTGTTCTCTTACAGTGGTTCAGAGCTTGGCCTGTTTTCTTGCACCACATACAGAGAAATCCACCTCCCCTCAAATGCTCACAGGCTTTGTTTTTTACAGAAATGCTGGCCTATCCAGTGACACAAGACCTTGAAGATGCATGTGTGTGTGTGCCACTCAAGTCAACAGAGCTGTTTCCATGCCCAAAGTAGAACACATTGACTGCTTGGGCCAGGCTATTGACAGAGCTGAAATAAGCATTTCTGCATTTATTTTTTGTGCTGAGGACAAAGAAAACATCAGAAATGTTTGTTCAACTCAATTGACATACACCCACCCCAGAAAGAACTTGCATTTTGCCTGGGTTGAATTTATTTCCGGCTTTCCTATTGCACTCACAGAAGGACAACACATCCCAGTCTGAGCGCTCATAGGCACGCAGCTTTAACAATTAGTTCCACTGATAGGTTATCTGCACAGCTGACAGAGATATTGATGAGGAAAAAAAAGCCGTTTGGAATAGTGACATCTGAAACAACTGGTTTTAAAACAGGTAGAAATATAGCTATTGATTGATGGGATTATTCTGGTCTTTACACAATTTTGCCTTCTTAGCTCAGCGAGACAATGGTGAAGTTTTCAGAAAGGAAAAAAGAAAAGCAGCAGGGGGTGATTGAATATCTTTTGGAGAAAACTACAGGGTATAGGAAGCCAGAGTACTTTTCCTTATTACTTCTCAACCATCCGAATCTGATACTGAGAACACTGATTTTGGGGTAAGGTGTAAGAGGTGCCATTGTTCAGAGCCTGTCTGGGAAGAGGAAAGTGTCTGCTGTGCTGAGACTAGGAGATGGGTAGGTCGGATCTGCAGGCTGAGGAACGTGGAAATTAAAAATGCCTTGTGGTGTTGGTAAATGCTGAGAAATCAGTACTAGGATTTGTTCCAGAATCAAGCCAACAGCCACGTGCCAGTCACGGGGGCTTCACCTCTGTGTCTTTTCTTCAGGCCTCTGATTATCTGCCTCCATCCGTGCCCACACGGCATTATGGCAAACCTCTGCATCAGGAGGAATTTTAGCAAGACAGCTTACTTTAGTTTTTCCAGAGTAGCTGAAGAACAAATTTCTGCCTCTGTTTTCCCTTAGTCAGCTGGTCGGGGCAAAAGCAAACAAATTTACTGACTAGAGAGCTGTGATTCAGTCTTTGTATCGAGTGTACAGTTACCAGGCATGGCCGGACAGGCATGGCAGCCACACTCCGCCTGCTGAACCAGGCAGCCGTGTGGAGATGTTAAGCAGAGTTACGTGCTGATGATGCTCACGTGGATAAGAACAAAAAGCCTCTGAACAGATCCCTCCTGAGCAAAAGAAAAAACCCATGACTTTATCATAAACAGCTCATCAGCTGCAGCAGCTAGGGATGTGAGCGTGGAAATTTGGCATGGAAACGGCCTTTCAGAATAATGTCAGCAAGCGTTCCCATGAAAAGCTGCATTTCAGCAGCAGTAGAGCTGGAAAACGTTGTCTTGCAGAGGCTGCAGCCCTGCCGGTTCTGCTGCGCGTGAACGCGATGGTTATCATTGGCCCAGGCTGTTATTTGTGAGGCGAGAGTGCGGCAGAGCTCCGCGAGGGCACGGAGAACGCTGTGGGACCGCGCGGCTCTGAGTGCAGCGAGGGGAAGCGCTGGTGGGGCAGCCGCGGACTGGGCGCGATTTCCCGTGCGCTCTGCTATTCCCGATTTTTGGAGCGCGCTGCCCGGGAGGCGCTCTGTAGGAAGGAGCGGGGCGGTGGGTGCGGCCGCCCAGCAGGGCGCCGGCGGGAAGCGGGCGGCGGAGCCGCTCCGCCATGGCCGGTGGCACAGCGCCCTCTGGCGGCCGCTGCGTGCAGGCGCTGTGCGTGTCGGCGCCGTTCCGCCGCCTTCAGGCTCTGGGCAGCCCGTGCCGGTGCATCACCACCCCCTCTGTAAAAGGCTTCTTCCTCATATCCAACCTACATCTCCCTTCTTTAGCCTTGAAGCCATTTCCCCTTGTTCTACCACCGCAGACCCTGCTAAAGGGTCTGTCCCCTTCTTTCCCGTAGCTCTCGTTCATATAATGCAAGGCTGCTATCAGAATCATTGGAGGCTTTATTTGTCTGGTCAGTCTGGAGTCTTTTGGAAATGCCTCGGAGACTCTGAAAGCTGATGAGATAGCCTGTGGTAACCAGAAGCCTCCAAACCAGCGTATTAATGTCAGTCTGTTGTTCCAAGCTCTGATTTCTAATAGGTGCTGACAACGTAATGAAGGAACCTTTCAATTCCACAGACATGGCAGCACGGCTCCCACTTCTGCAATGCTCCGCACATCTCAGCTGCAACACGTGAGAGGAACCCGAAGGAATACAGCTTAGATTAATTACTCTTGTCATAATTAGGGGCCACAAACAGGACAGGAGGTGCGGTAGAAAGGAAAGCAGTAGCAGAGGCAAAGCCTGCTGTCTGAGCTGTACGTCTGTGGCAGTGTGGAGCAGCTAAGCCCTGCACAGCAGATTTAGCTCACTGCCTTGCTCTGGCGGGCAGGGTGAATGTAAAGCAGCGTGATTATGCTGGGGAATACATCAGATGCAAGCAAGCACCAGTGAAATTAGAAAAGCCAGCACAGCAAGCTGGGGAGAAAAGCAAGACATACTCCTCTGTCAGCCGACTGGCTGAAACAGCAGTTCTGTTTTCATTCCCAGATTAGTGGCTAACAAAACACTGCTTCTCAGGCAGTAAGAGCAAAATGTGCAGAAAGAAAGGGTGGTGCTTCAAGTGTGCTGTGGTCCTTCCAACAAGCACAAGTTCAGTTCCCATTCTGCTTTTAGGTAGCGGATTTACTGTGGTCATGTAATTTCTTTGCCTACACAAACATATTGATTGTGCCCAACTCCACTAAAAGCAATTTATAAACAGAAAATACCAATAGAGCAAACAGTAGCATTTTGCCCACAGCAACATCTGTGCTTCAAGCTGCTTATTTCCATACTAAACAACACAAATCTGTTGATTTGATAACGGTGTCAAATGGTAAATCTGGATCAGCTCTGCATATATCCAAGATTAAGCATTTCTGAGGCAAAGCCTTCAACTCCATTAAACAAGAAATAGGCCTTAATTCTAATCTCAATATAGTGGAGTTAGTGCACTTACTTGGTCACTGTGCAGATATCGCATCATCTTTATTGAGTGGTGAGCGCAAAGGTTCGTCAGCCTGAGCTCAGCTCCAACAACTTTCCAGCTGCATTTTGCTACCATTTTGCTGGCCTTTGTAACTCAGGCCTTCAGGAGAGACTGGAGGGGCATGGAATGAATCGCAGCGTTGTTTTCTGACCACCTTGCAATGGAGACATCCTGTAAGCTGACTACAGAAAGAAAACATGCACTCATCCACAAACTACTTATGTGAGAACTGTTGGAATTATCAAACATAAAGACAAGACACACTCAAATATGAATTTTATTGCTAATGATATTTTGCTAAAAATTAGAAAGGATGTATAGGAAAAGCAGCATTTATGGTAGTGTGCAAAAACAAGAATGATCTAGAGTGGGGGGGAAAAGCACTTCCTGCATGCTACCCTCCATGACACATACATATATCTTGGTCATATCATGAGGAGGAAAAGACACAGACACATTTGATAAAAGCAGCTGTGTATTCTTGCCTTCATTCAACTTGCTCAACTGGTTGAATCTTCACGTATTGAATTGTTATTCCTAAGCCCTTACCCTCTCTCAGAGGCTAGCTCCTCAGACCCTCTCCTTTAAGCAGCACAAGCTGATATGTTTCCACATGTCACTAAGAATCTTGCAGGCAGCCCTGCTTCAGTTCTTTAAGATGGTTTGGCATACAAGAGGGCTGAGAGCTTCCAATTCATTCCCAAAAAGCTTGGCTGCATCCATGGCTTTTGAGTCTCTATGTCAATGTGTAGACTCTGTGAGCCCTGCCATGTAATTCTGAACAGACTTTAACTGCTATGGAACAGATTGTGTCATTAACAGATAGTATGCATTATGAAGAAGAGTGACACTGCAGTGGAGGTGGGGTTCTCATGGCTGTAAGAGGTGTTAGGTCCCAGCTAGGAAGGTACATGACTGGTGCTGTACAGGTGAAACTGGCATTGCTGCAGCATGAAGCTGAAAAAAGCACATGTTGAGGACTACAATTGTGATCTGTTCTGAAAATGAACAATTTGTATTTTCTTTGCACTGAGAAATTCATAATTCTTTCATAAAGCTGTATCTTTAATGGAAACTTGATTCAGTTTGAACGTTAAAAGTAGATCATTTCTTGCTTTGATTTTAAACCCAAGAATCATAGAATAGAATGACAGACTCACCAAGGTTGGAAAAGACCACCAAGACCGTCCAGTCCAACCATACACCTACTACCAATAGTTAAACCATGTCCCTTAGTACCACATTACACACCACCTCCAGGGATGGTGACACAACCAGCTCCCTGGGCAGCCCATTCCAGCACCTGACCACTCTTACAGAGAATAAATCTTTTCTAATATCCAACCTGAACCTGCCCTGGTGCAACCCGAGGCCATTCCCTCTCATCCTATCACTATGAGAAGAGGCCGACCCCCACCTCACCACAGCCTCCTTTCAGGGAGTTGTAGGGAGCAATAAGGTTTCCCCCGAGCCTCTTCTTCTCCAGACCAATATCTTTGTCTTAAATACTTCACTTGAAGAAGCTGGGCTCTCAGATACAGTTAGCTCTTGAAAACACAATATACATGTTCTCCTGCTGTGCACAACAGCTGTTTTTTCTTAAAAACAAAACGAAAGGAAAAATAACCCTCTGAACTTACTAGCTAATTCACTTTGTGCTGTTCTTTAACAATCACTGTGAAATTCAAAAGGAATCAGAATTATGTTTATTTCCTTCCCGTCTTACAAGCTAAGTATCACAGGAGGAGATGGAAGCATTCTGCATCTAGTTATATAGAAGCACAACTAGGCAGCAGTGTAGACACATAATCAATGATCTCAAGGCTTAAAAGTTGTAGAAATGTTTCTTTGCCAAAGTTCCAGGCAGTCACCACCTCCTTCTGAGCTCAAAGGTACAAGGCCTCTGTGAGAACTTAAGCAGAGCACCATTCATTCCTTTTGTGTTTATCAGTAGGAAACTTCTGCTTTAGTTCCTTTTTTGAACCTGCAGGAAGTGAAGCCCTTTTAGGGCACAGCATCGGCAGAACATACGCATCTTTATTCACCTCTGAAAGGACACTGATAGATGGCTCCAAGCCAACGTTTCCAGAAAATTCACATTCCCTGGATTAGGCTCACTTTTAGTAATATAGCCAAGATAACATGTCTGTTTCCTTCCCATTATTTCAGTCTGTTGGAGATGGTCCTAAGAGTCAGGAGAACTTAACGCTTCTGCCTGGCTGCTATCCACATTCTTGTCCAAGACCTCTATTGTTTAAATATGTAGGATACAGCCACAACGACTTTTGGATGAAATGAAAAAGGTCAGAGCTTGATCGATAAATTTACGCGGGTACAAATTTTCATTTATTTTCATCTTTCGTGACATACCTGAAAGCCTCTGAACCTGAAAGGAATGAATCTCCTTCTGAGTGAAAGCATATAAAGAAGCCTTAACATTAAAACAGTATGATCACAGGAAGCTGAAAGTGGAAGTATAAAAATAAGACCTCTTACTATAAAGAACTCATCTTGGGCACCCTGCCTCTTTTACCTGATTAAGGAAGCCACGTGCATTTCTTCTCAGCTTTCCTTCCTCTGCCAAGCACAGCTCAGCATGGATTACAGCAGGATAATGAACCAGGCCACAACACACACAACAGCTGCCCTCTGGGTTACAGCCCATAGCACAGCAGCTTGCAGGAGCACGTTGTGTAAGGAACCAGACATAAAAGCAGAGCCAGCCAGGTTCCCTGGAGTGTTTTCCCTAACTCATGAAAGGGAAGAAGAAGCCTGTGAGAGGTGAGGGGGAAGTGTGCATGGAATAAACCCAGTCTCAGCTGTGCTTGAACCTAGTTGCAGGTAAAGAACGTGGATCAGGACACCTTGGAGGCTGAGAAGAGGCAGACACTACCACAGCCATAGCAAGGCAGCTGATTTCAAAGTTCCTGTCTGCAAGGTCTGCTACTGCTGTTTGTGTCTCTTGGCTAATACTGCATGCAGAGGGATTCTGACAAAGTTGTTCAAGTTAGTTCTCCTGCAGGCTCTGCAGAGCAGCAGCAGTCATTAAGAGCAGAGATAACAACAATGGCCTCTTCCTCTGCAGCACAGTTGGTTACAGTGTCTGAGGAGTCTGACTTCTACAGAAAAAAAAAAGATCCCTTGCAAAGGTAAGGATCCTTTACTTTCCCCTGATTGGAGGAACTGGAACAACAAATATTGGTCTTCCTTGCCACTGGTCATTCACGTTTCTGGGATAGTAAGAAAAGACCACTGCTGCTTCTCAGCCATTCACTTCATACGTGCTCAGACAACTCTGCCTAGATGGTGAGAGAGACAGGCAGAGGATTCTATCTAAGGAAATGCATTACCATCTGCTCACAAGTCCTTAAGCATGGCAGACTGCCTAATGCCAAGGGGTTTCTGCTGAGCTGTATGTTTGTCCAGGGGATGTTTAGTAACCAGCAGTATATGTATGCTAACTCAGGTCTTCCATAAACCTTCTATTTGAACTGGATTTTAGACCCCCCAAAAAACCCAACGCCTTTCTTTCCACTGGTGTTTATGTTAGCAGTATGTTCACAAGGTTACTGCAGACTCTGACCATGTTACGCTGGTGCTCATATTGATCCTCACCCCTACAGAACCTACTGTGTCAGAAAAGATCAAAGAGCAGCACATGCCTTTTCCAACCAACTGGTGCCTTTAAACTCTCCTTTGGACAGTTAAGAATCAGTTATTAAGATGTCACTACTAGAAAATAACTATGGCATTTTTGAAAGTTTAACAGTAAACAACATTGCCAGTATATTATTGCACACAATAAAGGTTTTGGAACTACAAAGATAAGGAATGAGTAGTCTAGAAGACCCAGAATAATGATCCCAGAGCCATTCCAGTCGCTGCTCCAGCAAGCATGCCCAGTGCAAGATCTCCATCACTGTCACGGTAACGCTCTCGAATGATGACGTGGTTTGCAGGGGGTTGGCCATATGGTCCTAGGCAGTAAGAGATTATTAGAAGGAGGGCAGAAGGAATGTAGATCATAATACCATGCATTTGGATTTCAAAACATGTCCATTCCTTCCCTCTCTTCCTTCTGTTGAACGCTATGATGACGTCAGCTAGAAAGGTGGAATGCACAGAATCACAAAATCACAGAAACATCCCTGTTTTGGGTTCAGCCTCCATAATAATAGAAAAATTACAGGAAGCCAGCAAGACTCCTAGCCTTATAAAAAGTTAACATCCCAGAGAAAAGCTCATAGCAAATGTAAAGCTGAACACAGTCTGCATCTGTATTTGCAAAGAATCTATGAATGACTTGCATCATTCCATCAGGATTGGTGGCTTAATGTAAGACATGGGTCTAAAAATTTAGCCAACCTTGAAATTAACACAAATAGTGAAGTCCTTCAGTAGCTTTTAAGCCAGTGGTTTGCCAGAAAATGTGTATCAGTTATTTGCTCTAATTGCTCCTTAATACTTCAGCCTTTGCATCAGGCTCTGATCTGTGGCACGGTGACAACTGCTACATGCCTTTTCAGATGAAGACTGGCCCAGCAGTGAAGAATTAACCTAAGACTATTAAAAACCAGCAATTAACCCCTGCTCTGCAACAGAGTTGTGCAAATGCTGCAGAACTCTGTGTGTGTTTGTGTGATCTGTTCCTTAGGTCTTCGCTAACTTCGATGAGGAAAGCTGTAGGATCTTTCAGCTGGTGCACCTCTCTTGTCACAAAAAAAAATGGAAAAGGCAAATGAAGTAACCTGTCAAATGGTTAAAAAATCCCCCTTAAAAGTGAAAAAGAAAAAAAAAAAAAAAGAGCCAGAGCATACAGACTTAGTAATTATCCATGCTAGACTAAGCCCCTGATTCTGTAGGACGGGTTCAATATGCAAAGATAAACCTAAATTGAGGTAACTAAGCTAACAGCATACCGTAAACCTTTGTCTCTTTCCTCTTTTATTGAGATTGAGAGCTATAGAAGACTGCAAGGCTAAATATACTCATTTACAGCAACCCCAGCAAACAGAAAATGCCTTGAGAACAAAGCTACCTTTGGAACGTCCTCATTTAATTCTGAGGTCATAGCTGGAGATGAGTGTTGGTAAAAATTAAGCCACTGCTGAAATAAGATGAATCAAAATTTCCATCTCACCCAATAGAGTACTAAGTTAATTTTGCTCTAACTTTCTTATGTTTCCTTACAAAATGTGCTGACTATTGCAGTTAAAGAGTTCTGTGTGCTTTGAAAAGAGTTTGTAAAGCAACTTACATATACTGGAATCACAGCTGGGGCATTAGAATACTTAATACAAATTTCACTGAGCTCAATTTGCTGTGAAAGGGTGAGGGGGCTTTGGTTCCAGTTAGAAGTCAGGTTTCTATCCACCACTGTTGTGCAGGAGCAGCAGATGGTAAAGGAACTTGAAAACGTGGTATCTGAACCCAACCCCCAGTGTCAATTACTCAGGTTTCTCCAACATGGAGAATATGGTTGATAGTGATTACCGTGGTATGGATACTGGTAGGCTTGTCCAGTGGAGGCATAGAAGACGTGAGGACCCACAGTGGGATATGCACCATGATACTGACCATAGCCATAGCCATAGACCTGGTGAAATTAAAAAGATGTCCGTTACAAAAGTATTCTTTGCCATGTTTCCAATTCTGCACTTTGTTCTCAATTCTCCCTCATTTCTAACGCAGTTCGATGTTCATTGAAATATCCAGTCTGCACTGACTTAGAATCCTGGAAAGGATTCAGAACAAACACTTGAAAAAGAAATGCTCCTAAGCAGGAATCACTTCCCATCCTTCCTGGGTGGTGAGCATTAGAGGCAGGGCCTGGCTTGTCTGGCCAAGCCACAACCCAATGCTAGCCCTAATACAGCTCTCAGTAACCACATCTAGTTCTAAGCAGTAAGGGGCTGCAGCAGAGCACAAGTGGTGCAACAAACAGTACCATCCCAAACTGCACCTCTGTGCATCACTGCACAAGTCAGAACATCCAGAAATCAGCAATGCATACTGCTTCAGCCCTCATTCTGTTCCTCCTCCAGTGCAGAACAACTGTGCACCCAGGAGCTAGAGTCACTTTGTTGCTATGACATCCTGTGTACCACAGAACTTGTATGTGTTCAAAGTGACAGCTCCAGTCATTAAGTTCTATTTTTAAAACTCCTGATTTTTACACCCTTTCAGTGCTCACACAATGGGCTGCACGACCAAGATTTTTCAGGATTAACCAAACGACTCCTTGCCTCTCTTTAAGAAGCTTTATTTTCTAAGTTCACTGAGCACCCACCCCTTA